TGGTTTTGTATTTCCATAAGATGGGGACGGTGATGGTGTCAGCGGTGATGTATCGGTAAGCGTTTTAGACACTGAAGATATAGACACATAAGGAGATGAACTAATCGGGTTATTAAGACTGTTTCCTGGTTTTGGATTTCCATAAGATGGGGACGGTGATGGTGTCAGCGGTGATGTATCGGTAAGCGTTTTAGACACTGAAGATATAGGCACATAAGGAGATGAACTAATCGGGTTATTAGGAACTGTGGGACTGTTTCCTGGTTTTGTATTTCCATAAGATGGGGACGGTGATGGTGTCAGCGGTGATGTATCGGTAAGCGTTTTAGACACTGAAGTTTGTGGTTGTACTGTTGTTGATGTTTGTGGTTGTACTGTTGTTGATGGTTGAAATTGTGTTTGCTGTGTTGTTGATAATGGTTGTTGAGATGAAGAAGATGGTTTTGGAGCGGAAGGTTGCGGTTGCGCTGTTATTTGTGATGGTTGAAGTGGAGAAGGTTGTGGTTGTGCTGTTGTTGTTGATGGTTGTTGAGATGGAGAAGGTTGTGATTGCTGAGATGGTGAAGGTTTTGGTTGTTGAGATGGTGAAGGTTGTGGAGCTGTAGCTTGTGGTTGTGCTGTTGTTGGTGATAGTGGTGATAATTGTTGAAATGGGGAAGGTTGCGGTTGCTGAGATGGGAAAGGCTGTGGTTGCTGAGATGGAGAAGGTTGTGGAGCTGTAGGTTGTGGCTGTGCTGTTGTTGAAATTGGTACTATTGTGGTAGTTGTTGCGGGAGGATTACTCGCATTTCCGCTCCCATTTCCATTACTTACATTTCTGTTCCGTTATATGTAAAAATAATTTAGCAATGATTATTTAGATCAACTTGATACAGTTGTAAAATCAAAAAAATTAACAATTAATTATATTTATATTACATACCTTGGGTCTTGTTGCTGAGGAGAAGCGATTGCTTTTGTTATAATGCAGAATAAGAATAAAAATAAACAAAGAACAAATATCCTTTTCATTTTGACTGATACTTATTTTACTTGCTTTTCAATTCTATCGTTGTGAATTTGGTTTGGCTATTTATATGACATTTGATCCATAGAAAATTTGTTTGTGATTGACACTGCATTAGGTGATACACGTACATAACTTGAAAATTCTATAAAGAAAATAAGAAAATCGCTTTCTTAATTTCATTGTTTAAAAAGAAAAACTAATGTTGTGAAACTCTGCACATCACAGATTATCTCTGCCTATTATATCTCTTCTGCCACATTAGATATCACAGCTACTAATGATCACACAAAACATGTAATACATGTAAAAGGAAACATGCTCTTTCTTTCTCACAACATTTATCTTTATTGAATGAGGTATATGATTATATTTATACCGAGCAATTCTGAATGATAGTATTGCTGCACTTCCTGTAATAGAATTACTATTTGGACTCTTTTTAGTAAGTTAAAAGGTAACTTGTGATTGAATTCTCTTTCCGAAATTATTTAGCCTTTCAATAACAAGAATGCTAAATATCAGTTCGTGTTGCGTGATGTGATACACTTCAAGGGATTGCATGTTGCGACATATCTTACATTCGTCACAACTATAAAATGAATGGCTATTAATTTGGCAAACGCCGTAATTAATTTGACTATTGCTATCAATTTCAATATCGATATTTAAAGATTACGGCTGCCAAAATTAATTCGGACATTTTACAAAGATGCCGAAATTAATTGCACCCATCTATAGCGATAGTCACAATTAATTGTAGCTTACGAAAAGAATAACAATTGGTTTACAAGTGCATTTTGTGTATTTAATTGATCAGATTTTGATCGTTCTCGCCTCAAAAGAAACCGATACGTATCGCATCTGAAATACGGATATAGATATATTTATTCTCTTTGTCAGTTCATTTTTATCACTTTTCCAGTAGATCCTTTTGAGATAATGCATCATTCTATTTATAAACGTTTGAATTACGTACATATAATATCGATATACAGTTCGTACTGTAATAATACATGTAAATAATGAATACGTAGCTAGCTCAGTATTAGTGTTTTCAGATTTGAAGTTTAAAATATGATCATGCATACCATGCTACATGTACAAAAACACTATTTATGCAAAAGTAAACACAAACTTTTGATTGTACATGTAAAAAGATAGAATTTTTCCTTCGTTAATAAAAACATTGGATTCGTTTCAATTATAGCAAATAGTTCACTCAAAAAAAAGAAGCAGAATTAAATGCTTGGATCTAATGGACAAGAATAAGGCTTTAAGTTAACACGAATATACAGTCAAGGTTCGGTTTACCGATGAATCAGTAATCAAAATATTACTAAATGCTAAATCGAGGGAATACTAATAGTTGTCGCCAGAAATTTTGTTGTCTCGGTTGCGAGGGTTACTGACTGAAATCTTGTAGATCAGTATGGCAGCAAAATAAATATCCAATCCTGTAACCCAACAAATTCTTGCTTGAACCTCAACTTCCTTTCCACTTGCGAACGTTGAAGTACTAGCGATTCTAAAAACAATTTTTCATCGCTGCTGTTACCTTATCCAGCCATCATTTACATCCGTGAGAACTGTTTAGTGCAATTGTGAATAGAAGCTTACGAGGGAATATATTAATGATGTTAAGCTAACAAACATTTCAAAAAGATAATCTATAGAGGAGAGGCTCTCAAAAATTTATAGATCACTTGAAGGTAAATTTGGGAATGTGGTAAATTTTCGCACACAACTTCAAAAAAGCAGCCAAATTTGTTCTATTTGATGTGATTTATTTTTATTCATAGCGATACTCAAAAATAAAAAAATTAGCAATACATTATTTTGATTTTGTTTGCACAAAATTTAAACCAAAATTTCTGAATCATCTAATTTGGCATGCTTTCAATTAGTTCTATTTAAATTTATTATCCATATGAATTCACACTTTTGAATTAATCACATAATCAAAGCTCTTCATAAGCCTACTCAAATGATTCATAATAATCATAAGTTTTTAAAATATCTATTTATATAAATTAATTCAAAATTTTAAGAAGCTTTATTCATAATTCATTTTATCGTTATGTATGTATGTATTCTTATAAAAATTTTAAATATCATATACGTACCGGCACGTATATATATCTATAACTATAACGATAACGATAATGATTATCCAAGTACAGATTAATATTGATACAGTTATGCGTTGTATCGGTATAGTCACATCACTTTACAATTACGTATCCTTTTTCCCAGTTTCAACTATTAAACATAGAAAATTTGGCCTCTATATATATACACTTTGTTTGGCTCCGAGAGTGTGATTTTATTTGCATCGTGTTTTAAATCACCATTCAGCTGAAATATAATATTTTCTTTATCCAATTTATGTTATTAAATTTTCAGTCGTGAATAGACTATAAAAGATATATTTTGATTACAATTATCATAAATTAAAAATACAGCAACTTAGTAACAAGAAAAGTCAACTTGTATGATTATAGAACAGTGTGTTACCATTTTCAACAAAAATTTCGTAATTCCTAATTTCTAAATTATCATAAATTATAGTGTGTCATAATTTAACCCAATCATATTTATTTTCACTTTGTACATGTATATCATTACCGTTACATTTCGATTTAATATAAATTTTGTGAATATCAATGAATCATACTTTTCACTTTTATTTTCACCTTTATTTTTTCTTGTAATTATTACCTGAAAATTGATAAATTTGCTATTGGTACATCTTATATTTTATCCCCAACAAAAATATTCTTAATTCTTATTTTATTATATTACCCAATCACATTCATATTTATTTTATCTCTTATTTCACTTTTGTTCTTGTTAATATTTTATTTCTATTTTTGATATTATTTTCTCACATGAATTATTTTGTGTTATTAAATTTTTTTTATAAACTTTCTTTTTACTGCAAGTTTGATTTTCTTATTTCACACTAATATTCTTGTAAATTTTTTCTTGTATTTTTGTTTTTATTATTATGTATAATATTTCATTTAGTATTGATCTTTATTCTTTTTTAAACTTGTTTAGTTTTATTTATAAATAATAATATAATTACAGTGCCCAATAAAAGTATTCCCACACTGATAATTTTTAATTGATCATATATAAATCCCTGAAATTTTATTGCATAATAAAATAAAATTCTATATCAGATATTGCATATTTATAAACTTTCATACTTTAAATACAATAAATCAGTCATTTTAAGATATAATATCTTAATATTCAGTGATCTGATTTGAACAGAATTATTATCATTTAATTTGTCTTATTAAAAAAGCTAAAAAAAATTTTCTAATTAAATTTAATTTATAACATTATATCAAAATTAAGATCAAATATTTGAGAATAATAGAAATAAGATATATTATTAAGTAATCTTAAAAAAACCTGTTTGCAATATATTAAAGTATATATCTGTAAATTTTTATATATTTTCAAGCAGTTTTTATAATGCAAAAATAAAAAAAGATATATTTTTCTCATTATATATGGTGAGTATTGTATAATATTGTTACAAGTTTGTTCACTAATCGTTAAATTAGCTTACAAATGAGAACCTGGGTTGGAAGAGGGTATAAACTGATAAAGAAAATATTAAGAAGAAAAGAAAGGTATCTAAGGCCTATGCCAATTTCTACAGAAATTGTGTTTACTTGAAAAGGAATAATAATATGGGAGAGTTGTGGGAGAGTAAAGGTCAAAGAGGAGAGAGAATAAAGAAATAATAAAGGAGATTTGAA